CTACTTTCACTGGAGTCCTAGAGAGTCAAGGCTACTTTCACTAGAGTCCTAGGGAGTTGTAGTAACTTTTGCTCTGTTCCTAAGGAGTCATCATAAACTAATGTCAAACTATCAAACATTACAAAATTTAATAGCAATTAAAATAACATTTTTAACAGTGCATGTGCTTATTATATAGCCAAGAGATTATTTTAAATTTCTACTTTGCAATGTTTATTTTTTGCACCAAAACCTATATGGATATTAGAAACTCTTTGGAGGTGCTAGCAGAATCGGGGGAATAATATTACACATAGTCAAAATAAAAAAACAAACAAATTATAGCTAATTTATCATGGGGGATAGCGCAAAACTAAGTGAAGGAAAAAAAAATTTTTTATGCCATCCGTGCACTCAGAATTTCTAATGCCCCCCCTCCCCTTTATGGAGAATTTGATTGATCATTTCAACTAGGCTTTAACACTGCTGTAACCATTAAAATAACCCCTTATATTATTGTGTTAGAATATATTTGAGTTGTCCTGATATTTCATGTGTGTTTATATTGTTAGTAGTTTTAGTTTTAAAAGCTGTGTAGCTGTAACGCTTCATCTGATCTGTCTTACAGCAATCTTGTACTCTTGTGTGTTGGTGTGGGGTAAGTGTTGCCAGGATTTCAATAGTAGATTCTAGCAACTAATCCTACACGCAAAACATTCAACTCTTTCCACACATATTGTTGCATTCTAGATGACTTATGTACAATTCATAGTCTCCAATAAATTTTGGTCAAATTTGAATGAAATTTATTTCTTTTGTGTCTTTGTTCAAATTCCATGTTCATGTACACCATGGTTTCTCACTAACTCGACTATTGGATGAAATGTGCTTTGTTTAATTACAAATATCTGTAGTTAAAAAAAATAAACATTATTTTAACATAAGTGACATAATATTTACATATTTTGTTGTAAAATGTGTTTTTACAACTATGAGTTATACAGTGTTTTTATGTTTTGGCATGGTTAGTTTCTGTGAATGTTACTGATTAGCATATTCAAATCGTTTGAATGTTTAATTTCTTACTTAATACCGGTATAAAGTCATCAATATTGTACAATTGTCAGCCAGTATGCAACATTCTATGTCATGAAAAAAGTTGTATCTCTTTGCTTGCTTGCTATTTTTGCTGCTATATCATTAACTCATTGAACTGTGCATATGTAATTAGCTCATTTGCATACTGATATCTGACGTTGCCTGTGCAATCTACCGTGTAAGGATATATGTTTTCTCTGACTGATGGAAACCAAGTTTGTTTTGTCTTTGAGCATGTGAATGTTTTGCTGACCCGTAAAAAGTTCTAACTTGGTATAGTTTCCTGATAAAGAAGGCAGTATGAATACGGAGCATACTGACCAATGCTTAAAGTCACTTGTACACATGTTCTTTAGAGACTGCACACATACAACACCCTAGGTTGGTAGGCAGTAACATCCAGACACCCCAGGTTAATCTGAATTGTTACCAGACAAATGAAATACATATGCACCATTAGTATTTTCTGACTGAACCCCCTCCACTATAAATAGATATACCCATTACTTTCATTTCTTGAAAATAATTTGCGAGTTTTTTTTCAGGATGAAAAACCTGAAGATTACAGTGATCTTCCTCCAAACCAACGACGAAAGAAATTACAACAAAAAGTTGATGAGTTTGCAGAGAAAGAAG